AATCACCATAAATTGTAGAAAAATCATATGGAGATGTGCAAGTAGCCATTTTTAAAGCTAAGAGTTTGAACTACTTGCACCTGGAACAGTTTTGAAAACTAAATATTTAAGTTGACCAAAACAGTCCGTGATCGAAGTTCATCTTTTCTGATGTAATCTGATAGAAAAAGTTTAATTGTGTTCTTGATGATTTTACTTGTATTCCCCCCTTAAAACTTAAGAAAAAACATGTAAATGTAGGGGTATGAACTCACCTTATGTGTTCTTAGAGGATGGATGTTGGAGAAGAGAAGTGTTCAACTCAAAAACACTTAGAAGATGCCTTGACGAATCGAGAACCAAGAGTGGAAGAAAGCTTGATGATTAACCTTGGAAGTCTTGAAATTGAGAGAGAATGGTGTAGAAAATGAGTGACTTAAGCCTTGTATTTATACTAGTAAGAATTACTATTCATATATAATTCTTTAATAATAAGTGCTAAATGTTGACATTCTCCATATAACTAGTTAGTGTATATGACATATTCATGATGTAATCATGACAAATGTTTCTAGAAGATGGTTAATACTAATTGGCTAATAATAGTAATTTTTAAAACATAAATAGTAAATAGTAGGTAGTAAATTGTAAATAGTAAATAGTAAATAGTAAATATGATGAGATTTTTACAATTTTCATATTTGTAAACCCCGTTAAGCCATGTTTAAGAGTCTTACACAGCCCCCGATAATTGTGCAATAGTGTTTTATCGCTTTGGTTCGTTGTTTAGCACTGTTAAGGCTAAGGAAAATCAAACACATTAATTTTCCAAATGATGTTTTCTCATTAAAATAGTGAATTGTACAACGTAAACCTTAACATACAAGGGTTAATGGAGTTGACCGGTTTGACTTGTTGACTTTGTTTGACTTTGACTTGACCGAAATTTGACGGTTGTCACAACCTACAAGTTGATGCTAATGGAAACGAAGTGAGACGAGGTCGAGCTCCTGTAGTCACTTTCAACACAATCGATAAATCCGAAAGGAAAGACGTGGGGCCCGGATACTCCGAATACGTTACAACTTCTAATGGTGGTGGTGGTTGATTATCTGAACAGGAGAGGGACGGAGGGGGTTACTGGTCAATAACAGTGGCAGATGGTGGTGATTCACGGCAGTTAAAGCCACCAGTGTTGGTTCTTTAATTGGCAGCGGTTGTCTTTTGACCACCTTCGTGGTGGTGTCGTTTCTTGACAGTAGGTTCATGAGAAGGAGAGAAAAAGTAGGTAAGGTGGTGATGTTTTGATCGAATCAATGGTGGGGAGGTGGTATGTCATGGGTGGTCATGGGTTTAGTTTAAGAGCAACCAAACAAATGCTCTAATTAATTATGCAAGATCTCATTTGATCAGGAAGAAAGAAGAGTTATCACTTTTTTACGTTTAGGGTGTTGACTTTCAAGGAGAGAGACCCTTGCATATTAAATTTTATTTATTTTTTATTTTTTTAAAAAAAAGTAATAGAAAACCTCATAAATGGTCTCTGGGTAGTAAAATGACAAAAATGCCCCTTACTTAACGGCTAAATGGTAACAGAATGAGCCGGAAGGACCAAATGTTAAAAGTTTTGAAACCACAGGGACGATCCATGAGGTTTTTGTAAATTAGGGACCAAACTTCAGATTTTGTGAAACCACAGGGACCATTTTTGAAGTTTTGTCTTATATTTTTATTACTAACTTTATTAATATCCTTGGATTCATTAAAAACACATCTTTTATTCCTTTCGATTCCATTTCATTACACTTTAAATTTCATTCTCACTTTCATTTCAATTTTTTTAAAAGAATACTATTCGTAGGCTAGTTGTAAGATGCGTAGAATAGTATGAACAAAAAGAAGTGACGTTAGCTAGAGTATACACCGCACTTTCAAAAATAACTAAGTTACTCAACAAAGATTTTCATATTTTTGGTGAATAGTTATGGATTATTTTAAGCAACAATTTAGGGGTTCAGATCATTCAACATAAAGAAATTTCTAATGATGAAGTTTAAACGCAACAAAAAATGAGTCCAACAATTTTTAAAAAAATTCAAAATATATTAAAACAAAGTCGAAAACAAAATAAAAAGTTTGGACCAATAGTATGAGTCCAACAATTTTTGGACCAAAGTGATGATTTTCGACTAACCATAAAGAACATTTTTATAGTTTTGTACAAAATTTTTGATAGTCAATTATATATTTTTAGAAATATTTTAGGGACATTGTGGGAGTCCTTTAAGTTTTAATCTTACGGTTTTAATAAAAATAGTATATTTTTCAAATAATAAGTTAAAGTTTTAAAAAGTTTTTTTATTGGATACGAAACATTAAGATTATTTTAACTGCATAATCAACAAATATGGGTTTAAACCGGAAATCAAAATTTGCACATTATATTTGTAAATTACAAGATTTTCTTGTGGTTGTTCCTAAAAACGTGAACATTTGAAAAATACAATATACTTTTGATAAATTTTCAATTTTTTTTAATTCAAGTTCTTTTATAAATGTGAATTTGGTTCCTTGTAAAAAAAATGAGGTTTCCATTCTTAAACTTTTAATTTTATACTGATAGTATTTATCAACATGTTTCATTTTGATTTTGGTCCATCGATCAATTCCAAAACTGAATTGACTAATTTTAATTATTAAATTTTTTCTACTAATAAAATCAAGAATATTAAAACCAAAATGGGTCTCTCTCTCTCTCTCTCTCTCTCTCTCTCTCTCTCTCTCCAACCAAAAGGCTCTTTAAAATTTAAAGTGAAAACTTATATCGTTCTGTCAGAATTCCAACTCCTCCTTCATCTCCACACCTTACGTGTGTTTGGATCTCAAGGAAGTCTCCCGACATTTCCACTTTGCAAAGGATGTCATTTATGATTAACTATATAAATAAAGAAAGTGGAGGCAAATGACTTGTCTTCTTTAACTATAATTAGTGGTAAAGCTTGTGAACCTAGTGCAATAAGTACCTCTCGGTTAAAATCCATCGACAAGATACTTGAAGAAATGCACACCCTTGAAACAAAAGGCTTTGTTGAACCGAACTCGACCAATCCTCAACTAGTCAAGAATCGAACCGGATTAACATGAGTTTATCAACAAACTCGCAACCAGAATATTCAAGGAATGATGAGATCATTATAGTACATGAATCGAATGGTCACCAAATATGGGGCGATGAGAAACAAGTTAGGCCCGAGTACCATATGCCTTCAACCAATATTTGACATAATCATGAGCATTCTGGAACTTGTTCTCTTCTTTTCTTATCCATAGAATGGTAAGACACTAACCTTCAATTTGTGATGGTAATTGTTCTTATGAAGAAAATGTAAAAAATGAAGGAATATTTACAACATTTATGATATGGTGGAGGTGGTATTATCGGGGTTTTCTAGTGGCATGGACACATACGGGCTTATTACATCTTAACTTGGTGAAAATGAAAACTTAGTTGAAGTTCGTGGAGCCGGTTTTATGCGAGTGAAGGTGTTCATTAAGAGTTTCTTAGGATATGACTATAGTTTTATGCCATATGTTGCAATGGAAAATCCGAAGGAAATTATGTGTGTGTGTGTGCGCGTGTATGTTTAGTTGTAGGTACGTATGTGTATGAAGTCGTAGGGTATAAGGGTCTGGTAGGTGGTTGCATTTGGGGGGAACGGATTAGAGTGACAGAGGGATAAAAAAGGTCGGGTGGGTGGAGATGGGGTGGAATAGGTGTGTGCCCTATTTAGGCAAGTTAATAATTTCAATTTGGAGAGTGACGTTCATAAGTATTATTTATGCAAAATTGAAAGTATGAGGAACTCGAACCCAAACTTTTAGACAAAAACAAAGACCAAATTTATAGTTTTCTCAAAACTTAACTTCCGTTTTCATAACCAAGTTAAATAGATAATCATTTACAAGAAAACTATCTTTTCCGATTGCTTTTTTTATTTATAAGGATGAGCAAATAGAAAAATCACCTTGTAATGATAATTGAATAAAAAAGGTCATGTATATTAATATTATGATCCAAAGATCTATGTATATAGTTTTTAAAAGAATTAATATGATCATTCAAAAAAAATTTAACAACATAGTTTGTTGTATGTTTGTCTTCCACCACAACATAAGTTATTAAATTTATAATGATTAAAAGATACAAAGATTATATATACAATCTGAATTAGTTTGTTAAGATATCATTTTATTACTTAAAAAAATTATTGTAATAAGTAGTATTTTTACCCAAACCATTTATAAAACTAAAAAGAATCCATAACTTAACATGTTAGGTTCTATTTAACCCAAACTTAAACTCTTTGATTAAAATGCATTTTAACATGGTATCCATCTTCAAAATGCATTTTAACATGTCATCCATCTTTTTTTTAAAAAACATTGTTAGGTATGTTCGATAACGGGTTTTTAAGAGTTTCCAAAGGCTTTTAGAAATCTCAAATTAAATAAAAAATTTCATTTGGGAGTAAAAGTTCTATTTTAAATAAACAAAAACCCTTCTAGTACAACAACGACAAATAGTTTTTAAGATATATTAGTAGTTTTAACTTTTATATTTTATGTCATTTTATATTTTTGAATAGCTTATAATTATTTTTGTTGAACTAATCTATATAAATAAAAACAAATTAGTCCCCAACTATAAACTAATTTTAACTAATACTAGGTATAACCTCAAACTATTGAAAAGAGAGAAATTAAATATTCTCCTATATATTTTTTTTCTATTTATCCTTCTATCATATCAAATGGTGACAAGTGAATTAAATGATTATTAATTTTATTAAATATGTAATTAAATGCGACACATGTCAATATTTGATATCGTAGAAAGATAAGTAGAAATAAAGTGTAAGAGAATATTTAATTTAACTTCGAAAAGAACGTGAAAGAGTGTCATTTTTCAAACCTTAAAGTACTCTATGATAAATTGTCAGCAAGCAACATTATCTTCGACCACCGCTTTTCTGTTTTTCTCACTTTACTTTGGCAAGTATGGGAGGAGGAGCAGTTCCAACACCGCCGACCACCGTCTCCATCTCCACTAACCATCACTCTCGGCCACCGTATTCTCCAACTGTTCCACCCTTCTCTTCCAATTTTCTTACCGAAAACTTCGATTTCATCGATGAAAAAAGTGCAAGTGGATATCCCTATGAAACCAACTTTGGACCTGTCCCTTCTAAAATTGAAGTCCAAAACGCCATATCTGATCTTCGAAGGTACCTTTTCCAAATTCAAGTTTCCAGAAAACTTATCGTGACCTTAAAGAAGTGTTTAAATCTGTATTTTTTTATATAATTATGAATGTTACGAGTTTAATTTATAGATAAATTCGTTTATATTGTTCCAGAAAAGTAACCATGATTTTTGTTTTTGAAAGTAGGGTGATGGATGTAATTTGTGCAACAAATTCAGAAATAATGGATTCTTCAAAATCTTTGGGACAAAACAGGCTTCTTGATGCCTACCATTTGCTACAAACAGATGCTTCTGTTCCGGTTTTCTATTTTGAAATTAAATTTATACTTTTAATCTAGATTTGTCTATAAATTCTTTGTACGCATATTTTTTAATTTTGATTAAAGAAATTTTAATAAATTACATAATTTTTTTGGTAGAAACTTGTGTTATCGATATCGTCAGATATAGAGGTGTGGGATGCCATCTTGAAGAATGATGAAGTTCGGGATCTTCAACGCTCATTGCCATACACAGGTTAAGTTTCATTTCCCTTTTGTAAGTTAAATAATTAGTGGGTTAAATGCAAGAAATGGTAATGTATTTTCGTTGATTTATTTTTAAATTTTCTTATTACAACATTATGTTTTGAAAATTTTACCCACTTATAACAAAAAAGTATTGTATTTAATTGAAATAATTGAAATAATTGAAATTAGGATGTTGTAATGTTCAAAACGAATAATTGGGTAAATTGTTGACCATTTTGATTGGAAAACTACGTGGAATAGCAACATGCTTTATCTCACAATTTATATGGAATGTTTTTAATTTTCTAGACACAATAGAAACACCCTTATAATTTTTACCCATACTAGCGACACATGTTACCAATATGTAAATGTTCTTTATTTGGTTGTGAATTTCTATTATCAATAATAAGTAAAACTGTAAAAGCATGTTACTATTATGAGTTACACATTGGCATTATTGATAGAAATTTAGACACATTAATGTAAAAAACATATTATTATCATAAGTACAACCCTACAAGATAGAATATAATCTATATTGGTTAAAAAAGGTAACATATATTATTTCCTGAAAATTTCCCTTTTCAATTTGACCATAAAAAGTTAGTTGTTATTATGGGTACAAAATGTAAAAATCTAGGCGTCACGAATGCTTAGAAGATTTAGCGACGCCCTCATTGTTACAAAAGCTTGAAAATCCACAGGGCTTGCAATTGATAGTTTGTTCATAATGCAGCTAATGAAGAAAAGGCCATGGGATACAAGAATGAACTCAACTCGACATCTCTTTTGATTAAGTGGATTTTTGCTTTCATGAAATTGAAAATTACAGAATTAATCGATAAATTAGAGGTTTTCATCCTTGAAAGAATACAAATTGTGACAAGGAAGTCAAAATCCACATCAAAACTCGATGATATATTGGAAGAAAAAGTTCGATCTTCACTACTCCTCTCGGTAGTCATATTGTTAATAGTGGTCATCACAAGGAGCACCGAGACATGATCAAAGTTTTATGAGATTTCGTTGGAATGTAGTTTTTTTTTTTTTTTTTTTTTTTTTTTTTTTTTTTTTTTGAATAATCTTTACCTTGTATGTGTTCAAAAAGGGGTAAATACAAGAAATAGATTCATAGATTTGTTATGAAGGGTTGTCCTGTGACCTGGAAATAAACTACAATTTCCACTAAGAAAGAATAATACACAAATAAAGAAAATATTTGCTATTACTTTGCGTTTAAAATAGCGTAATGTCATTGTCTATGTTTTAGAATTGTTAGGGGCCCAAAAGTCATGAATCCCAAATGGAAAACACAATAATTTAGGCACTACTAGTCTTGTTATGACTGTGTTTGTCTCCCCGATCCTCATGGCATCTAAAATTATTAGATACAATTTCTATTTGGATACTGCATAGTGCATACCCTAAGTAATTATCGTTTAGTTATGTTTTTTTTTTTTTTTTCAAAATATAATAAAAAACTCGAGTTAAATACATCAACTATCAACATATTTTTACTAAGTTGTTTATTATATAACGGTACTTCTTTTTTTATTTGTACTACAATACAATAGTATTATAGTTATGTCATCCCAATTCAAAACGGTTTTTCTTTGTTATAAATAGATATAGCTTACAAATTATAAGGTTCTAAAAAGTTTTAAAAAGTTCAAAAAGTATAATTTTACAATCAGTTAGAATTTTCAAAAACAAAAATTTCATTAAGGGTGTTTTGAGCATGAACTTTGACAACAAGAAGGTATCTATCATCTCTTTCTCTTCCTTTTAAGACAAACATGGGCTCACCAATGAATCATCTGGTGCGTGCTCACCGACCATGGGTGGGTGGTGAACTTCATCAATATATCAAGAAATATCATCCTATTTTTTTTTCCTTTTTCTAATTATCTTCATATCCATTTGAAATGATAGCAAACGTTTTAAATTATTATTAATTTTATTAAAATGTGACACTTTTCATCATTTCATATGGATAAAAAGATATATACAAATAAAAGGTAGGAGAATATTTAATTTATCATGTATCAAATTGGAAATATGGCAAGTCTTGACGAATGCTTGATCTAGCAGTTGCAGATCAATTGCATACATGTAAGTATTGTTCCTTCCACCAAAATCTTGATTACTAACTTTTCTATTCATCATTTAGAGGATTCACACCGGATTTTTCATAGTTTTTATTGGTTATGTCACATTTTGTCATTTAACTTTTGGTTTTATGCTTGATCATTGTTTAAAGTTTTAAAATGTTACTGGACTTGTTAATTTTTGCAAAAATGGCACTACGACAGGCAACATGTTTTCATTTTTTATTTTATTTTTAGTATCTAAGGTTATCAAACTTATTTTTGTGGCTATTTAAGGTCACTAAACTCTTTTGAGCTATAATTAATCATTAAACGTGTAGAATTATATTCATTCGTATTTATATTTCTTTTTAGAATTCTTTTTTACAACTTCGTTTTCCATGTTTTTTATATCAAAACTCATTTTTATAACTTCTTTTATATATATATATATATATATATATATATATATATATATATATATATATATATATATATATATTATATATATATATATATTTCTTTTTTACATGTTTTTAACATGATATCAAAGCTCTAATCAATCCATGGTTGTTGATTTGATGATTGTTAGAAGACATGACTATCGCCGATCAAACCACAAATCAAATTGTTCATTGTAATTCACTTTTCAATGATGTTCATCGTAGTTTTTGGTTTCGATCTTGTTCTTTTGGGTATGTTTTTCGATCTCATTAGTATTTGGTCATCGATGTTGCTATCGTTTGTTCCTTCTTTTGTTCTCGTTTTTTGTTCCTAGTTTTGTTATGGTTTTAGATTATCTGTTTTGCTTGGTTATTGACATTATGGACCCAAAAGATGATTGTATTTGGGCTGTTATTACCAACTTGATGACAAGAACGATGCATCTTGGAAGTTAATAATTTTTTACTCGAGAAACATACACAGGGTATTTATATTGGTGTAATAGGTAACACACTAGATGAGAAAGCTATTAATTATACGGTTTTACACTTTTATTGGATACGTGGGGACTAAGAGTTCTAAGATAATCATTTGGATCAATAATATGTGGCTCGGTTAATAGACACCTAATTGGCGAAATGAATATATGAAGTGTAGCATCCGTGTTCCTGATTGGTTAAGCTTACTTTTATCAGGGACCAAATATTAAGTTTTGGAGAAAATCCTATCCCACGACGTGGCCAAGGAGGGCCACGGTGTGACAATTGTTTAATGGATCGCGTGTGTTATTGGGTCGCCACAACGTGGACAAAGGTTGCCAGGGCGTGACAGCTGTCCTGGACCAAGCCCATGATTCTTTTAGGGTTTGCTTCGTATTTAAACCCATCTAAGTCATTTTTAGGGTTCCTTATTAGCCTCCATCACCCTCAAGTTTCTGAAACGCTAACCCTAATTCCTCATTGAGATTTGTGAGTCCATTTTGGTGACCTTGGGTGGTTATGAAGAAAGAAGAGGCATTGGAAAGGATTGTGGTGCTTCTTGGCTGAAGTGAAGATCTCTTGTGGGCATCTCTGGACCTTTGTAAGTGTCCAAGTTCCTTGCTTTATTGCTTAAAGTGGTTAGATCTTGAATATTGTACCATGAACTTCATGTTTGAGCAAGTTTGGAAGGAAGGAACTCATAAAGCTGGCAAGCTTTATGGCTTAAAGTGGTTAGATCTTGAATATTGTACCATGAACTTCATGTTTGAGCAAGTTTGGAAGGAAGGAACCCATAAAGCTGGCAACTTTATGACTCTCTTGAGTCCCATGAGCAACATATATTGTAGATCTAGGTTTTGGCTGATGGGTTTTGATCTTACAAGAATTTTGTCATTTTTAGCCCATTTTGACCTAAAATGGATTCTAGGAATGTATTGGTATGCATGTCCATAAATCTTCCACCTTTATGATAGATCTAGTATTAGAAGACCCTTTTGGAGTGGTTGGGTTAAGGACTTTTCAGATTAAGCGTTTAATGTTTAAGACATTATGGTATTTAGCTTTATTTAGGACCTAAGGTTGGAGATCTTAATCTCTTTTGGTGTCTTAATGGATAAAGTTGGAAAGTTTATCCATTTAGACCATATAATGGAGACTGGGAATTTCTTGTTTGTTTGATCGCATGAGGGTCACGACGTGGCCAAGAAAGGCCACGACGTGGCGGTTGACTAAAGTCAACATTGGCCGTTGAATTTGACCGTTGACTTTTAGTTTGGAAGGAAGGAACCCATAAAGTTGGCAACTTTATGACTCTCTTGAGTCCCATGAGCAACATATATTGTAGATCTAGGTTTTGGCTGATGGGTTTTGATCTTACAAGAATTTTGTCATTTTTAGCCCATTTTGACCTAAAATGGATTCTAGGCATGTATTGGTATGCATGTCCATAAATCTTCCACCTTTATGATAGATCTAGTATTAGAAGACCCTCCTGGAGTGGTTGGGTTAAGGACTTTTCAGATTAAGCGTTTAATGGTTAAGACATTATGGTATTTAGCTTTATTTAGGACCTAAGGTTGGAGATCTTAATCTCTTTTGGTGTCTTAATAGATAAAGTTGGAAACTTTATCCATTTAGACCATATAATGGAGACTGGGAATTTCCTGTCTGTTTGATCGCATGAGGGTCACGACGTGGCCAAGAAAGGCCACGACGTGGCGGTTGACTAAAGTCAACATTGGCCGTTGAATTTGACCATTGACTTTTAGTATGGGTTGACTTTTGGTCAAATTTCAATTTTTGGAAGGTAGAATTAGGGTTTACCTTATGTGGATTGTTAGGAGGTGTTTAACGCCCATCTTTGGCAGAGAGAGTTGTTAGTTGTGGTCGACGTGACATTGAGCTGGGTTTTAGTCCGCTTTGTGATTCAAGTGAGTTTTACTCACTATACTTGTGGGTCAAAGGCACCAATGTCGGCCTACTGTATTATGTATCCTGGTATATAGGAAGATGTTATGCAGGATATATGTTAGACTGGTAGATATGTATGATTATCTGTATTTGATGGCTATTTAATGTTACTGTATATGTCGACATGTTATTGTTATTGTTGGGTTGAGGCGCTCCTGCTTTGTGCTGAAGGCCAAGATACCCGAAGCGGTCCACGATAGACTGTAGGCCTGGTAAGGCGGTCCAGTGCCGCTGAAGGCTTAGAGAGCAGTCCAGATAGGTTGTAGGCCCTGCGAGGCGGTCCATTGATGCTGAAGGCTCATGCATGCATGTTGTTATCTGTTTGGTTGTGTGTGGTACTTTGGGGGAACTCACTAAGCTTTGGCTTACAATTTGATTTTATGGTTTCATGTACATCAGATAATAGGGGCAAGGCAAAGGCTTGATCATGCATATTCTCCCGGGTTTTTTTATGAGATTTGATTTTGGGATTCTCTGATTCGTGTTATGACTTTTGGAAACTATTTTTTGTAAACACTTATGGTTTTGGATTAATTTCGAAGATGAAAATTTTACCTTGATTTTTGGGATGTTACAAATTGGTCTCAGAGCCCTGGTTTTAGTGAGTTAGATGAGCATTCGTGTGAAACCATACTCAAACTAAGGATCTGTAAAAGTTTTTAAAATGGTTTTCAAAATTGTTTTCAAAAGTAACCAAGGAAGGATGAGATGTGTACGATCAGCCGGAGCAGGAAAGTATACCCCAAGTTACCTACACTGTTATTTGTTTATGATGATTATGATAGAACAACATGCAAGTAGTAGGCTAGGGATCTTCATGAATTGCATGATAGAATTGCCTGATGTATGATGTCTGATAGCCTAGGAGAATTTCTTGTATGTTAGATGGAATTTACATCATTACTGTAGTTTTTTTAGTGTGTGCATCATAGTCGTACATAACTAAGATTGTATATCCTGAGAATGTTTTAGGTAGAATCAAGTATTCAGCTGTCTACAGAATCCAACATTATGTATGATTAGCATGCACGGGTGGCTGCAGGGTTGGTGGAAGTT